AGATAGAGATAGAGAGAGATAGAGATAGAGAGAGATAGAGATAGAGAGAGATAGAGAGATACAGAGGTACAGAGAGAGAGATACAGATACAGAGAGAGAGATACAGATACAGAGAGAGAGATCCAGAGAGAGACAGAAAGAGATACAGAGAGAGACAGAGAGAGAGAGAGAGAGAGACAGAGAGAGAGAGAGAGAGAGAGAGACACAGAGAGAGAGAGAGAGAGAACAACAGAGAGAGACACAGAGACAGAGAGAGAGAGAGACACATACAGAGACAGAGAGAGAGAGAGAGAGACACATACAGAGACAGAGAGAGAGAGACAGACAGACAGACAGACAGAGAGAAGAATAGGTTGTGAGAATGGTTCCTGGCCTGAGGATCGTCAGTGATGAAGACAGATTAGAGAAGTTGGAGAAGAGGAGGCTAAGAGGAGACTTGATAGAAACTTTCATAAATCATGAAGGGCTTGAATGGAGTGGATTAGGAAAAAGTGTTCCTGCTCTTAAAAAAAAGAATGAGAATGAAAAAGGGACAGGTTTAACAGTAATTCGCAAAAGAGGCAAAATTGCTAGAAAATGGAATCGAATAGATGGATATTTGATTTTTGATTTTGATTTTACTTGATTAGCGATGCAGACATGATGGGCCAAAGGGGCATCTTTCCGTGCAGTAAAAACTCTGACTCTAAGCAGATGTAATTTGAGAAAAGAACAAGACAGCAAGTAGTTAGGATGTGGAAGGTGGAGGCAGGTTTAGTCAAGGCTTTCGAGAGAGAATGGGGTGGCCATTTGAAGAGAAGCAAACACACAGGCTTATGGGGAAATAAAGCAGGAGAACAGTACAGAGGGAACTGCTCATTTGGAGTGCCAGTACAGACATATTGGGACAAAAGGCCTCCCCTTGGTGGAAATAGAGGGAGGCTTGTTGGCTGCAAAATGCTTTGAGATATCCAATGACGAAAGGTGCTATGTAAGCTGTGCTAAAGGTGCTTTAGGGGAGGCAATGGCCTAATGGTATTATCGCTGGACTGTTAACCTAGAGACCCAGGTAATGGTCTGGGGACCCAGGTTCGAATCCTGCCATGGCAGATGGTGGAATTTGAATCCAATAAATATCTGGAATTAAGAGTCTAATGGTGACCATGAATCCACTGTCGATTGTCAGGGAAAAACCCATCTGGTTGACTAATGCCCTTTACGGAAGGAAATCTGCCATCCTTACCTGGTCTGGTCTACATGTGACTCCAGACCCACAGCAATGTGGTTGACTCTTAACTGCCCTCTGGGCAATAAATGCTGCCTAGCCAGCGATGCCCACATCCTGTGAATGAGTAAAGGATGTAAATGCAAGCTGCTCCCTGAGCTAGTTACCTGTGAGATGGGGAATGAAGGAGAGTTTGATATCCACATCTTTGGGGTCCCAGCCATGTGACGTCCTCAGCTCCAGTAACACGTGGTCAGCTGTCTGGATCCTCTCCATCGCTCCATTGGGACAGAACTGGCCAACCACTGACCTGGCACCATCCTGGCTGAAAGTGCTGACATTGTACATCAAGTTGCCATCGCACACATCGCCCTGAAGAAGCTGCTGCAGCTTCAAACGCTCAGATGCTAACTCGATGGTTAGTTCCGACGGCTGCGTGAGCACCCACTTGAAAGTATGGTGAGCTACGGGCAGTTCCGAGAGTACCCCAGGCAAGGCCAGGTCCACATTCCTGACAGGGCACTCTTCTGCATCTTTACAGGCTGAGAGAGAGGAAGCAGACAGACAGAGAAAGAAAAACTCTTACTGAGATGGGAGAATGCTTACAGCACAGACGAAAAGGCCCATCATTCATGCCAGCTCTTTGATGGAGCAACTCTGAGTCCCCCTCCCCTGCTCTTTCCCCTTAGCTCCTCAAATCACTTCTCTTCAGACAATCAATCAACTCTGTTTTGAAAGCCACAACTATATCTGACCCTACCTCCACCATAGGCTCTGGCAGCACATTCCAGAACCCAGAAACTCGCCGCGCAAGAAATTTTCCTGATGTCGTCTTTGATTTTATTTTTTGCCAATCATAAATCTGTGCGCCTCAACCTTAACCCCTCCCATGGAGTCAGGATAATCTCTCGGGTTGTCAGTTTAATTCTCCAGTCTCCTCCCAGGCTGACCTCTCTGTCTTCTCTCAGCTGCAGGCTTCCAATGAAACCTTGAGAAACTGTGCCCCGTTGTTTGTATAGGCCTTTCTCAGCCTCGTGAACCCACAAATCTCAGCAATTTCCAATGAAAAATACTGCACCTTCCTAAGCGCCCCCATTCCAGTTTTGTTCCATTTTCATTGCACACATTGATCATAATATTGCTTTCTCTTGTAGTCATTTCCAGACAGCATCTGTTTATGATTCTGCCATTCACACCTCTTCTGGACCTACTTTTACTTGTATCTATATGTAGCTACTACGGTAACTGATCTCATTTCACCCGGTGATCTCTCCCCCTCTGCTTCCAAGCTGATAATCCCCCAACCCCGCACAGCTCGTTTCTACCTCCTGCCAAAAATCCACCAACAGGACTGTCTGGGCAGACCCACTGTTTCAGCTGCTCCTGCCCCACAGAACTCATCTCTTCCCACCTTGACTCAGTCTTCTCTCCCCTGGTCCAATCCCTGCCCACATACATCCGTAAAGGGTCTCCAGATCCAAAACATGAACTCTGTTTCTTTCTGTCACAGATGCTGCCAGACCTGTTGAGCTTTTCCAGCAACTTTGTTTCTATTCCTACTTTAATTTATCTTTACTTGTTGCATTACCATTTCCTGCTTCCTCTTTGGGTCATTTAATCTGTCCCATCTTCCATCCTGTCCTCATCTTGTTTCTATTTCTGTTTTACCCACATAAAGCCCATTATATTTCTAACTTTTCATATATGTATAAATCCTGAGAGGGCTCGACCAGGTGGATATGGATAGGATATTTTCCCTTGTGGGAGATTCTAGAAGAATGGGTCACTGTCTGAAAATAAGAGATCACCCATTTAAGGCAGAGATGAGAAGAATATTTTTCTCACAGAGGGTTGTGAGTTTTCTCCTCCTCAAAATAATCAGATCAGCTGTGGTATCTTCAAAATGATGGAGAGGGTTCCAAAGGGTTGCATGGCCTACATCTGCTCTGAGTTCATGTGTTTGTACATTAACTTTTCCAAGTTCTCACGTAAGGCCAATTGTTTGGGGAAGCGATGGCCTAATGGTATTATTGCTAGACTGTTAATCCAGAGACCCAGATAACATTCTGGGGACCCAGGTTCGAATCTCGCCATGGCAGAGGGTGGAACTTGAATTCAATAAATATCTGGAATTAGGAATCTAATGATGACCATGAATCCATTGTCAATTGTCAGAAAAACCCATCTGGTTCACTAATGTCCTTTAGGGAAAGAAACTGCCATCCTTACTTGGTCTGGCCTACATGTGACTCCAGACCACAGCAATATGATCGACTCTGAACTGCCCTCTGGGCAATTAGGGATGGGCAATAAACGCTGCCTAGCAAGTGATGTCCCTCATCCCATGAATGATTAAAGAAAAAAAAAACTCTGCTTCCGCTTCTGTGGGTGCTCCTACATCTGCTGAGTATTTGTGGCATTTTACAGGAACATAGGAGCAAAGGTAGGCCATTCAGCCCTTCAAGCCTGCTCCGCCACTTAATACGATCATGGCCGATCATCCAACTCAGTCCCCTGTCTCTCCCCAGACCCTTTGATCCCTTTAGCCCCAGGTACCACATCTGACTCCTTCACTGTTTTGACCTCAACTGCTCTGTGGCAGAATATTCCACAGGCTCCCCACTCTCTGGGTGAAGACATTGCTCCTCACTTCAGCTCTAAATGGCCCAACCCCACCTCCTTAGACTTTGACCCCTGGTTCTGGACTCGTCCATCATCGGCAACATCTTTCCTGTGTTTACCCGATTCCAGTCCTGTTAGAATTAATGAGGTTTCTATGAGATTCCCCCTCATTCTTCTAAACTCTGGTGAATACGGTCTTAAATGAAACGTTAGTCCTGCCATCTCAGGAATCAGTCTGGTAAACTTTTGTTGTGCTCCCTCCATAGCCAGAACATCCTTCCTCAAATAAGGAGATCAAAACTGCACTCAATACTCCAGGAGTAGTCTCACCAAGGCCCTGTATCATTGCAGCAAGACATCCCTGCTCCTATACTAGAATCCTCTCGCTATGAAGGCCAACATACCATTTTCTTTCTTTACTGCCTGCTGCACCTTTAATGCTTCCCCTCAGCGACTGATGTACAAGGGCACCCAGGTCTCATTGCCCCTCCCCCCCTCCCCCCCTTCCCAGCCTATCACCATTCAGACAATAATCTGCCTTCCTGTTTTGCTACCAAAGTGGATAACATCACACTTATCCAAATTATAAGTTTTTTTGTAAAATCAGGGACAACTACTTGTTCAGTTCCAAATCGGCCCAACTTTGAAGAAAAAAAACTTTGTTTTCAATCCTTGAGTAAAAAAATGCTCAAGAGAGTGTGGCTAATCATCTCCTGCACGCTGCCTAAACTCATTTGTATCCATTCAGTTGTTTTTAAGCTTTCCTATCTCATTCAATTTTAAACTGAAAGACCGTTCCCTGAAGCAGTCTCGAAGTAACCACAGTCAGTTGCTAAAAGCCAATTCCCAACATGGGTGCCTTTTGCTGGTCTCATCTCAGCGAGTGGAAACAGTGAGGCAACAAAACATTCAGGCTTTCTAAAACAGGCAGCACACAAGACGTTTCACAAATGCATAGTGTGAAAACCAGTTGCACGCATACCAGTTGCGTCTTTGAGATCAGAGAAATAATGATGAGAAATTGCAAGATGAAACTCGAAATGAACTGGACTGATTAAATCGGTGGGGAGAAAAAGGGAAAGGAACATGTGGTCAACGAGGCTTGGCTTGTGACAGAACAGTGACGTGATGGTAAACAGAAATAAAATACGATTGAACATGGTCAGAGACAATACACATTTTATCATCACATAATGCACTGTGGCCTGGAATTTAAAAGACCACAGGATCATAAAAAAATAGAAGTAGGCCATTCGGCCCCTCAAGCCTGCTCCACCACTCAACAGGATGATTGCTGCTGATCGGACATTCCTCACATCCACGTTTCTGCCCTTTCCCTATACCCCTTGATTTCCCGACTGATCAAGAATCTATCTTAGCCTTAAATATACACAAGGACTCTGCCCCCATGGCTCTCCAAAGTTCCAAAGACTCTCAACTCTCCAAGAGAAGAGATTCCTCCTCCTCTCAGTCTTAAATTAGTGCCCCTTTATTCTGACTCTATGCCCTCTGGTCCTAGACTTTCCCTATGAGGGGAAGCATCCTCTCAGTGTTTACCCTGTCAAGCCCCAGGTGGAGTAGGAAAGGACCGGTGCTCCAGGTGGGATTGACAGACCTGGTCAGTTGCTGGAAGACATGCAAGGAGAGGTGGCTGACCACATGAGAAAAGGTCCAACATGCAGGGTTATCAAGTAACTAATAATTATAGTTTTCTATAACCAGATAGGGCTCAGGTGCAATTGGATACAATGCTGTGTGTCTGAAATTATTTGCAGGGTAAGGGTCCCGATTTGAAATAACTTGTATGGGATAAAAGAAACGAAGTTAAATGTCTATAATGGCTAGTCTTGAAATCCCCCACTCTAGGGAAAAGACACCTTCCATTCACCTTATCTATACCTCTAATTATTTTATAAGCCTCTCTAAGGTCATCCCTCAACCTCCTACGCTTTAGTGAAAAAAGTTCTAGCCTATGCAGCCTCTCCTTATAACTCGAACACTCCATTCCTAGCCACATCCTGGAAAATCTCTTCTGAACCCTCTCCAGCTTAATAATATCCTTTCTATAACAGGGTGACCAGAATTGTACACAGTACTCCAGAAGAGGCCTCACCAACGTCCTGTACAATCTCAACATAACATCCTGACTCTTATTCTCAAAGATCTGAGCAATGAAGGCAAGCGTGCTAAATGCCTTCTTAACCACCCTGTCTGTATGTAATGCAAACTTCAAAGAATTATGTACCTGAACCCCCTAGGTCTCTCTCTTGTACAACACTGCCCAAGGCCCTACTTTTAATTGTGTAAGTCTTGTCTTTGTTTTACCAAAATGTTATACCATGCATTTATCTAAATTAATCTCCATTTGCCACTCTTCAGCCCATTGACCCAATTGATTATGATCTCTTTGTAATCTTTGATAACCTGCTTCACTGTCATTTGTCAGCCATCTTGAGGCAGAATGTTATTGCTGTGGATAGAAAGATCTATATTCCACATTCCCTCCCTGGTATTGATGTCTGTTGTAAAGCTGCAACTTATTCTAACCTCTCCAGGAATATGGACTCAAAACAGCACTCCCCACACTAAAATGGGGATTTAAAAGAAAAAAGTACCTTTCAGGGGAGGCAGTGTGTATGAACACAAGCTGCTTCCTTCCACCACCTCCTCCCCTTACAGAAACACTTTGCCAGCTACAGCATTTGAAATGCTTGGCAAAGTCACAAGAACTCTTTGCACAAAGGGTGGGAGTGACAGATGGAAACATTAAACGTCAAGTTGAAAAGGAAGAGTTGGCAATATTCACACACAATGGTTTGTTATAATCTAGAATCCAGTGCCTGACAACAGCAAGTTCAATAGAAACCCTCTGAAGGAACTGGATGCATAAATGAAAAGGAAAAGTACGTTACAGGGCTACAGGGGACACAGCAGGGAATTTTGTTTCAATTCAATAATTTTTTTCAAAGAATTCACACTGGCACAATGGGCTAACTGGGGCTCTGCTACACTGTATCAGAAGTTGGGAATGACCTTAAATATTCCTAGAGGGAAAGGTGGATTTGAGGCACTCGGCAGTCACCCATTAGGAATTCGGCTGCTCCCTCAACTGATTTGAAGATGGGTTCACTATCCAATTGACAGAGAGTGGGCTGGGCTCTCGAAGGGAGAGGGCCGACTAGAATCCATCCAGCTCCAGGCTGTACTGGACTGGCTACATAAACACAGTGGCTACAAAAGCAAGTCAGAAGCTAGGAATATTACATCGAGTAACTCACCTCCTGCCTCCTCAAAGCCATCCACCATCTACAAGACACAAGTCAGGAGTGTGATGGAATATTCCCCTCTTACCCGGACGAGCAGAGCCCCAACAACACTCAAGTAGCTGAATGCCAACCAGAACAAAGCAGCCCACTTGAATGGCACTACATCTATAAGCATCCACTCCCTCCACCATCATTACTCAGTAGCAGCAGTTTATACCATCTACAAGCAGCACTGCTGAAATTCACAAAGCCTCCTTCCAAACCCATGACCACTTCTATCTAGAAGGACAAGGGCAGCACATACATGGCAACACCACCTGCTGTGAGCTCCCCTCCAAGCCACTCACCATCCTGACTTGGAAATATATCGCCACTCCTTTAGGGTCGCTGGGTCAAAATTCTGGAATTTTCTCCCTAAGGGCATTGTGGGTCAGCCTACAGCATGTGGAATGCAGCGGTTCAAGAAGGCAGCTCACTACCACCATCTCACGGGGCAACACGAGTACTTAGAAAGATGAACGCTCTTAAAGGTCAGGTCCGTGTGCATCACCATGCACATGAAGAGACAAATCCCTCCCACCTCACCAATGTGGGAATTCAGTCGTTGACCAGATCAATCCAGTTGATCTCCTCTAATTGCAGTCACCAGGCTCTCAATGAGCATAATCAGATACTGGTTGTGATGTAAGCCTCGTCTAATGTGGCTGGCACAAGTAATGGCACGGGGTAGGTGGCACACCAACCAGCGCTGGTACACGAGGCCCCAAGCACCTCTGGTCGTAAGCCCAGAGGGACCCTAAAGACCTGCCCCGCAAGTTCCAAGCTTAATTACAGCCATTTGACTAGCTCCGAGTAATCTCCTAAAGAGGGAAGGGTGGCAGAGCTATGAGGCCTCAGGCGTCGCAATTTCCAACAAATCCTGTGGTCTGGAAAGATAAAGCAAAATACTTACAGATGTTCTTGGTGGTTTCGATGATGACATCCCGCGTCGTGTCGCACCTGGAGTTGAAGGAGATGTTCAGGTGGTCTCCAGCTTCCAGTTGCAACTTGGAGCTACAGTTGGAGGTCGACTCGGGGAAGCTGCAGATACAAAGCAGGGGAGATGCATCTCCAGCCGTCTCTGAGATCTGCTTAAATACCATCGAAACACCCTCGCTCAGTTTAATTTCATAACTCTCTGCAGGACAGTAAACAAAAGCAAAAGGAGATTCAGGAGCGTCGCCAGAACTTATTCGCGTTTTTCTTTGAAGAGCAGATCAATTTGGACTTTCCCAGCTGACTTACTATTGCAGGGTGTGACCACACAGCTCAGGAATGGTGATCAGAGATAGTAAGAACTGCCATGCTGGACTCAGAGACAGCACAGTGTGGAGCTGGAGGAACACAGTAGGCTGGGCAGCGTCAGAGGAGCAGGAAAGCTGACGTTTCGGATTGGGAAGGGTCCCGAACCAAAACGTCAACTTTTCTGTTCCTCTGATGCTGCCTGGCCTGCTGTGTTCCTCTAGCTCCACACTGTGTTATCTCAGGAATGGTGATCCCAAGATTGTTTTTGGTCAAGTTAAATTTGAATGTATGATGTATAAAATTATCAGGGGCATTGATAAGGAAGATGGAAAGAAATTGTTCACCTTAATGGAGGGATCAAAGAGGAGGGCGCATAGATTTAAGATAAGGGGCAGGACTTTTAGAGGGGATGTGAGGAAAAACCTTTCTCACCCAGAGGGCGGTGGGAATCTGAAACTCACTGGCTGTAAGAGTGGGAGAGGCAGAAACCCTCACATATTTAAGTAGTATTTAGAATGTGCACTTATGATGCCAAGGCTATGGACCAAGTGCTGGAAAATGGGATTAGAATAATCAAAAACAACCACCTAACTATCTCACACTCAATGGGCCCTTTTCTGATGCTGTAGATCTCTGTGACTATGAAGCAAAACATTTGTTGGACTTGTACCATAATTATGAGTCATTGTTGTCAGATAAGAAAGAAAAGCAGAGGTAGGCCATCAGCCCACCCTGCTACTGTCAATGTTCTATTTGAACACCATCTTTCTCCAGTATCCCCCATTCAGGGGATGGAGGTGTTTCTGGATAAGCTAAGTCTTTGTTGCCCTTGAGAAGGTGGCAATGAGCCACTGGTTTGACACAATGACCGGCTTGCTGGACCATTTCAGAGGACCATTAAGAGTCAACCACATTACTATGGGTCTAGAGTCACATGTAGGCCAGACTGGGTAAGGACGACAGATTTCCTTCCCATATGAGTGAAACAGATAGGTTTTTCCAATAATTGACAATGATTTCATGGTCATCATTAGACTGTCAAGTCCTTTTTCACTTCTGCCATGGTGGGATATATCCCGGGTCCTTACAGCATTCTGTAGGCCTCTGGAATTGTAGCTCAGGGACAATAACACTATGCCACCCGTCACCCCTTCTGCAGATTTGTGTCTTGAACCTGCTCAATGAATAAGTCTTCACAGCTCTCTGGGGTAGAGAATTCTAAAGATTCGCCACCATCTGAATGAAAGTTCCTCTTCTTCTCAGTCCAAAATCACTCGGCTGATCCCTGGTATGGAAGGACTGTCTTATGACGAGAGGTTGAGTGGGCTGGGCCTATACTCACTGGAATTTTCAAGAATGGGAGAGAACCTTATTGAAACATACAAGATTCTAAGGGGACTTGACAGGGTAGATGTGGACAGGTTGTTCTCCACTGTAGGATAGTCTGGGGCCAGAGGCCACAATCTCAGAATAAAGGATGAGATGAGGAGGAACTTCTTCTCTCGGAGGGTAGTGAACCTGTGGAATTCTTTACCTCAGAGGGCAGTCGAGGCTGGGTCATTTCAATATTCAAGGTTGAGATTTTTAAACAGTCAGGGAATAAAGGGCTATGGGCCAATGGAAAGTGGAGTTGAGGATAATCAGATCAGCCATGATCTCATTTGATAGCAGAACAGACCCAATGGGCTGAATGGCCTACTTCTGCTCTTGCATCTTCTGATCTTAAATGACATTTGGTGCAAAATTTGGATGACCTCAAATCTGCAAATGGTAGAACACAGGATGACAGCCAGGAAAACAGTGGCACAGTCAAGTCTAGAGGTAACGAAGACAGGAGTAAAAGCACACAATTCTGATTGGAACTGTAAAGGCAGTGCCTTTTCATTTTTGTACTTTTGAAAACTGTGGACTGGAACAAGAAAGAACAATTTTAAAACTCAGGAATTTACAAGGTTGTAAGAACTTTAATGCCTATTGTAAACGCCGTCTGCATAGCTTTGATTTCTAGCAATGTACAGAAGAGCTGGAGTCAAGGGATTGTTTACAAATGAAGCTGACTGGCTTCTGAGCTAGGGACAAGTTATTGATGACCATGCTCCTCTGCTGGTCAACAATACTGTCCTTGGATGTCATGCTACTGAACAGCTGTGAACAAGACAGAGAAGCTAAAAGCAAAATGCTGCAGGTGCTGTAAATATGAAATAAAAGCAAAGAAGGCTGGTGAAACTCAGTAGATCTGGCAGTGTTTGTGGAGAGAGAGAAATAGAGTTAATGTTTTTAGTGAACGTAGTTTCTATTTTTATTACAGAGAGATGACAGTCAGATCAGAATAGAAACCAGCAGGTCCTCTCCTCTCGGTTCTCTGCAGTAAGCCACTTTAAACATTGAAGAAAGCTTCAGCAGATGCTGCAAGTTGTGACTCTGAATTGGAGAAGTCAGAGACCTTCCATAAATGAAACAGTCACCCTGTATCTCTTGCAAACCAGTGGAAGCATTTGGAGAAAGGAACATTGAGAAGAAACCTTTGAATCAGCAAGAACCAAAGCGTCAGATCTTGTCAAAAGACATTGAACTATTTGATCAACTTTTCCTCTGCCCTTTTTTAACTCCATGTTTATGTCTGTCTGTAAGGGGGCATTTATAAGGTGTTGAGTTTGTAGAATTTGTGTCATTCATTTAGGTCAATTTCATTGTTTACCTGTAGCTGGAATCTACTTACCTTTAATACATAGTGGGATTCTTGTTAAGTACAGAAAAGCAGGTAAATTTTGAATATTCCTTTTAAAAATCTTTTAATTTTTGCGTTCACATTAGGAATAGTCAAGCCTGATTTCCAACATTGTTCCCCAGAGAGTTGAGACAAAAGTGTGCCTAGTTTTTTTTTTTTAACTATTTTAATTGCTTGACATGGTACATGCTGAGGAGCTGTGAGATGCAATCTGTGTATAAGTTATTGAAACAAAGATTTTGAGGAGACGGGGTAGAGTGGATAGTGGGAAGATGTTTCCTCCTGAGAGAGAGACAGAAACTAGGGGACACAGTTTAAGAATAAGAGATCCTGTTTATAAGATGGTGTTGAAAAACTATTTTCTCTTAGACGGCCATGACAGCAGGTTTGCAATGTACAGTAACGGCAACAGCATGGGTTCAATTCCCACATCGGCTGAGGTTAATGTGAAGGACTTTCCTTCTCAGCCTCTCCCCTCACCTGAGGCGTGGCGACCCTCATTTAAATCACCACCAGTCATCTCTCTCCAATGAGAAAGCAGCACTGTGGCACCTTAATCCTTCACAGTATGGAATTCTCTTCCTCAGAAGGTAGTGGAGACAGGGTTTTTATTGAGGATGAGTCAGGTTTTTGATAGACAAATGAGTCATAGTGGCAGGAAGGGGGTGTGGGGAAGACGGGAAAATGAGGTTGAGTCTACAACTCGAACGGCCATGAATGGTGCAGTAGGCTAAAAGGGCCAAATGGCCTACTGTGTTCCTAAAGCATTAGGGTTACTTTAAAAGAGAAACAAAATCATTGGATACAGTCAATTGGCTTGAAGATTGTATTGCGAAATCTGAGTAGCTCGATTACTATATTTGGAAAATGTACAGCAGGAGATGCCCTTAAATCTCAAAGTAGCTCCAGTGTGAATGATTCAGAGCCTTTCTAGACAGTGCAAATCCTTCTAAAGACTGGAATAGTCCAGATATGCATAATTTATTCCTAAAACAAAGGCAGTGAAGGCATTCAGTTTGGCAACAAAATGTTTAAGATTTGGCCAAAAATAGCAGCTAAGTCTCATTTGGTAGCCCCCAAGTTGAAAGGCTGTAGAGTCAAGTCCTACCCCAGGACCTAAATATTAAAAAAAAAAATCCAGATTGATAGTCCGGTACAGCACGGAGGGAGGGCTGCATTGTCAGAGGTTCTATCTTTGCAATGAAATGTGAAACCACATTGCAGGGTCATTATAACATTCTGGTTGAGCTTGCTGTGAGCAAGTTGGCTGCTGAGTTACATAAACTATTACAGGCTATACATTTCAAAAATATTTGATTGTCTGTTCAGTGCTTTGGTTTTTTTTATTTTAAAGAATTGTTCAGGGGATGTGGGTGTCACTGGCTGGCCAACCTTTATTGCCTGTCCCTAGTTCCCCTTGAGAAGGTGGTGATGAGCTGACTTCTTTAAACTTTGGATTCAAGTATACCTAGGGTCAGGAGTGGGGATGGTAGGGTTCAATAACTGGGCCCCACGGTTCCTGGATGGGAGCCAGGTTGGGGACTCAGACCAGGAGCAGCATGAGGGCCCATGATTTTTGTCACTGTCTTGAGTTTGCCTTTTTTGGGGTTTAGGAGGAGCAGATACCACCCTAGTGATTTATTTTGTAATTTGTTCACAAGATACGCCCACCACAGGTTAAACCAGCATTTATTGCCTGTCCCTAATTGCTCAGGGGAAGGTGGAGAGCTGTCTTATTGAATAGTTGCAGTCCACATGGTGCAGGGACACCTGCAAATGCTCTCAAGGAGAGCATTCCAGGATTTTGACCCAGCGACACGGAAGGAACAGTGATATATTTCCAAGTCGGAATGGTGATTGACTGAAAGGGGAACTTGCAGCTGGTGGTGCTCCCATGGAATATAAAACCCACAGTCTTCCTTTATTTTCTTTTAAAAAGGTTTTTGAAGAATCAACTGCCTGGTCAGAATGAAAAGAAGTTGCTAATTTGAGTGATACCCAATAAATTGGAAATGAACATTTGCTCATTTCTGAAGAAGGGTCTAGACCTGAAACGTCAGCCTTCCTGCTCCTCTGATGCTGCTTGGCCTGCTGTGTTCATCCAGCTCTACACCTTGTTATCTCAGATTCTCCAGCATTGGCAGCTCCTACTATCTCTGAGAAAG